CCTATGTCCTCAGCGATCGAGTAGGGGTAGGCTGGTGTGCTTCTTCCGTGGGTTTTGTTGTCTCTCAGCTAGATGATGCTTGTTTATCTTCATGTCTTTAAGGCTTCAGGTGCTATATCTTTTGGTAGCTGAGCACCATCAGTTTTCTTCACCACACTTGCTTGTGCACCCATTAGGTGTTATATCTTTTGGTAGCCAAGCATCATCTGCTTTCTTCACATTTTCTTGTGCATCCACTGTCTTCAGCGATCATGCCAGGTAGGTGAGCATCCCAGACTGCCAAATTGTTAGAACAAAGTGTTCTTGTGTTGGGGGAGTACTTGTGTAGGGGCCCACTGTCCATCTGTTTTCTTAATACTCGACCTATAAATATATGTACATTGATCTATTTACTCATATGTAAATATATTTACATCTTTATATGCCCGTATTTACATCTCTATGAGTACCCTTTGCCTCCTAGTTCTTTCTTGTTTCTTTGTACTTTCCTCTTGTCCCACTATCATGTTCTGCTTTCATTTGGGTTTTAGGCATTCCTCTCGGTTGCAATGCCCTTGATCCAGCCCTGCAAGGCCCCTCCCCCCCCTCCTTCTTGACATTGATTTTGGATCACTTGTTGTTCCCTTGTGCCTGTGCTTGTTAACACCCTCTTCCTTCCTCCCGACCAAATCTTTCTGGCACAGTACTCTGAATATGTTTTTGCATTTTCTTTTGATGCTTCCTATATCATTCAAGATTTTGCCATAAAATCCCTCAGAATTGTACTTTGAGGCTTGACTTTTCTTCAGTTCTTTTAGTTTTAGTGCATTCTTCCCTTTTAACTTTCTATTTCCAGGTTTTGTACATTTCCTCATAATGTTTCACTGTTTTTCAGCTCCCTTTGAACGCTTGTGTAGCTTTTATTTCATTTCCCCTTCACTTTAGCTAGTATACTTTCAAGAGCAAGTTTCAGATTTCTGCTGACATCCATTTTGTTCTCTTTTTCTCTTTATAATTTTGCTTTTTTCGTGTATGTCTGCCTTGATTGTCCTCTGTCTTTAATCTTTGGGGTCTAATGAATCAAATGTATTGAGATGGTTTCTAAATTCAGGTGCGTATATTGAAGGTTATACTTTGACTCTCACGGACTTGTTTTAAGTTTCTCCTGCTTTAATTTTAACTTGCAACGTGGACAATTGGTGATCTACTCTGAAGCTGACTCTGTGCCTTATTCTGACTGAGAACATCGAGCTTCTCCACCGTCTTTCTACGGATGTAACTGATGTGATTCTCCTGGGTGCCAGCTGGTGCAGTCTACATGAATACCAAACCAAACCAAACCAAACTGAGCTGCCGAGTCGATTCCGACTCTCAGTGCCCCTATAGGGCGGGGAAGAACTGCCCTTGTGAGTTTCTGGGACTGTAACTCTTTACAGGAGTACTAGCCCATCTTTCTCCCATGGAGCAGCTGGTGGTTTCAAAAGTGCTGCCCTTGCAGTTAGCAGCCCAACTCCAAACCACGCTGCCTGTGCCACAAGGGCTCCATGTGTCTCCCTGAGGAGTTGCTGTTTATGATGTTGAAATGCTATTTCCAATGAGGAAGTCACTGGTCCTGCAAACTGTATCATGCGAGTGCTCATGTCTTCTACCACCAATGCTGTATTTCCCAAATACTGGTCCTTCTTTGTTCTGTCTTGGCATTCCTATTGCCAGTAATTATCAATGCTTCTTGATGCATGTTTGATCAATTTCAGACTGCAGAAGTTGGCAAAAACCTGTAATTGCTTCATCTTTGGAATTAATGTTCGATGCGTACATTTGAATAATAGTTGAATTAAGTAATCTTCCTTATAGGTGTAGGGATATGACCCTATCACAGCATTGTAAGGAAGATTCACAATAGATCTTGAGGGCTTCTTTTGGATGATGAATGCAACATCATTCCTCTTCTGGTTGTCATTGCCAGCATGGAAGAACAAATGATCCAATTTCAAATGACCAACACCAATTCATTTCTGGTCACTAATGCCTAAGATAATGATCTTCAAACACTCCTCATTTAATTTTTGACATCTAATTTTCCTATATTCATCTTCCATACAGTTCTGCTCTAGTTGTTAATGAATGTTTATAACTCTTTCTTCTCATGTTGACATATTATATTACTGTAGCAAATTCATAATTTATGAAGTTAAACAGACTTTCTGATAGGCTTGCTTCTTTTCTGGTTTGAATTTTTCTTCCTTTAACTACGTATATAGAATTTCAACCACACAAGGTAAAACACTAAGCTGAACCACAATATAAATGAATTTAAACTCAAGTACAGAAGGTTTTAATTTTATACCTCAAAAATATTACAAAATTTAAAATAGAAAAATATTTACAATATACATGATAGCCAAGGCTTAACAGCTTTAATTTATAAAGAGCGCATAAAAATCTAATCATAATGTAAAGATAAAGAGAAAATCTGTGGTAGTTCCATAATCTGGTGTCAATTTGTGGAGAGGTGGAGTCCAGCCTGTCAATCAGGCTGCAGCTTGATGACCTCATTTGCAAGTGCCACAAAGATAAACAGCTCACTGGAGGCTAAGTACACATTCACTCACTGCAAGACATTCCTGCTGACAAGACATATGGAGCTCTGCTGATGGCAGCCAGAGCTTTGGAGCTGGAGGAGGCAAGTGGAGACCCACGCCAGCACTAAGATGCTTCCACCACCACTGGATTCACAAGACTTTCCACCCACTGGCCTGTGATCTTCCTGCATTTAGCATCATTGCATGTGTTGCATGAATCTGAAGAGGAATTTACAGGCTGGTACGAGACACATGGCCTAATATTGAACTTATGGACTTGATCTGGATGGGGCTGGGATGTTTTCTTAATGTCCAATTGCCCTTTGATATAAAGTACTCTCTTACACACGAGTGCCTATGAAATGGGCCACAAAAATAAACAGGCCATTCAAAAGTAATAAACAATGATTAATAAGTGCATGAGAAGTATAATTTCACAAATGAAATAGAAATTAAAAAGATACAAGCAGTCCTTTTATAAAAATTGGCAGAGATTAAAGAGTGCTAATACTCAGTATTAAACGATATATTAACTTCAGATTATTTACTGTAGAAAATGCTAGGTTAACTAACACTCCATTATTGTCTGACAATTTGCATAATGTGTATAAAGAGCCTTAAAAATATGATACCCTTTGATGGCACATTTCCAACTATTAAAATTTTATTTTCGAAGAATAATTCAGTTTGAAGTATAAAAATGCACAATAATACAAATCCAAAAGAATACATTATAAACCAGTAATTGTCTGAGTTGAGAAACGATAATTTTTACTTTATCTTTTATAGATTTTTATGTAGTGTGAACTTTTTATAAGAATTGTTTTCTCTTTAAAAGTTATTTTTAAGATTAAAACATTAAGTTCAATCCTGTATTATCTATCACAAAGAGTTTTATCTTTAAGAAAAACATATGATTTTTGAGTGGTTCAATGAAAAATTTTACCACTCTGCATACATCAGCTATGAACTTTTACTACACATAACTGATCAAAGGAGACTATATTTTTACAGTTTTCTTTGTGGGTGAATTTTTCTCTGAACTAACACATTTAGGAAATAGTTTTTTGTATTCATAAGACAATTTGAGTTTTACCTTTTATTTTCAGAATTAAATACTGACTTGGGACAAAAAAGTCCATTAAAAAATTTGACATGAATACTGAAAAATATTATCTTAAGCAGAATAGCATATTGGAAGTAAGAGGAAAATATCTATTAAAAAAAAAACAACCTTTCTACAAGATTTCCCATAAAATCTCCCCCAAACCTATAAATGTTGGAATGTCACTGATGGCCACACTCTTTCCCTTTGGAACATGTTTTCTTCCTGGCCAGTCTTTTAAATACTTCTCAGTCTCCTCTGCTTCAAAGCGAAATGTGGGAATGTCGCGGGCTTGGGCCGGCTTTGTTTCAAACTCCATCCTCGCCTTGCTGAACAGTTCTGTGGCTTTCAAAACCCCTTAGTTAATGATTCTTCTTCTTTGCATCCAGCTTTGGCCTCTCTTGGAATTGAGACTTAGATAACAAAACAAAACAAAACAAAACAAAATATTCCCACTACCACTGAGTCAGTTCCAACTCATGGGGACCCTATTTAGGTTTTCTTTTTTTTTTTTTTTTCCTATTTAGGTTTTCTAAGGCTTTGTAAATCTTTATGAGAGCAGGCCACCTCATCTTTCTCCTGAGAAGTGGTTGAGAGGTTCTCCAACTGTGGCCGGCAATCCAATGCTTACCTGACAGCACCGGCAAGATTCAGATACGTATTTCAAGTTTCACATGGTGAAAACAACTTGAGCCTCTCTTCTCCCACCTCCAACCCTGCTCCTTCTCTAAGCTGGTCAAGTGAAAAATGGACACGTTCTCCCTCATTCCTATTGATTCTTCTTCTCCTGCAACTGAGCCAACGGCTTCTGTAACTCCTAACCATATACTGAAACCATTTACTTCTGTACAACACCTCTACTAAGCACTCTGGTTCAAAACATCTGCATCGTACTCCTGACCTGCTGCAGCAGCCTTTCGTGTCTGCTTTCACCCCTATGACTCTCCTGGCTCATCGCGCACCAGTCGCACTCGGCTGACTCTGAATCCACGCCGTGAGCTCATCCAGGCGTTAGTGCTTCTGCCTTGTTCTCAGTCTGCTCTTTGTGTTTCGGCTGCTTCTTGCCATTAGATGCCAGCTTACATTTCATCTTTCCAGATAGGACAACTTAAGCGTTCAATCTAAAGTACTCACCCAGTTACCCTCTATCTTTAATTTTCTAAGGACCACGTACTACTGTGGTCTACTCTCAACAAACCATCCTCTAAAAGATAATTTAAATCCTGGGCCAGTTTCCTCTTATTACTCATCAAGTTCTGGCAATGCAAAATGTCCAACATTACCTTCAAACATGTTAAACAACAAGATGAAGAAGGTAACTTAGTTACAAAAATAAACACATAAAGCTCTTGAAAAATCAGAGACTACATTAGCACTTGTGTCTGACAATTTTCTCTCCTGACATGCATAGCCATGCTTTTGAACAAACAGCATACAAACATTGCACTTACAAACCACTGATTTCATATCGCTATCATTAATACTGCGTAGGAACTAGCTTAGGCACAGAGGAAAGCAAAACCATTTTTCTAGATTCCTATGTTATCCTGAATGATACGTCTAAATTCTTGGGTCCTGTTAACACAATTCCCTGTTTCCTTTTAAAAAGAAGATGCTCCATTATAAGAAGATTACACTAAGATGTGATTGTTGGTGGTGATTCTTTTTCTTGTTCAGGGAACAGTGGTAATTCATGTATAGGGACTTAAAAAAGCTCATGGAGAAATGGAATGAAAAGATAATGGTATTTTTTTCATGAACTTTTGAAGCCCCCTTGTATTGTATGCAGGTGTATCATCGACAGTAAAATGTTGAATTTTCTTAAAACAAAAAACCATAAGCAAACTAAACCCTATGCCATTGGGTCAAGCCACAGCTACCACCTATGGCTGTGTGGAACTGCTTCACAGAGGTAGAGACTGTCAGTAAGCCTTTGATAGCCAGATTGCCTTATCTTTCTCCCACATGGCAAAGTGGCTGACAGATCTGAGTGGCCGCCCAACACTTAACTCACTGGGCCGCTGGGGAGGTGCTCACTAAATTTTCTAACACACTCAAAATACATGTGGGGGCTTCAAAAAGTTTGTAGGAATATGGAATGAAAATACAATTTTTCCACGAAATTTTTTTTAGTTCCTTTGTACAAACTACCTCATAGGCCCTATTGCTTATATTAGTGCACGGATTGGTTTTTCATATAGTAGTTATAATAAAAAAACTTTTCTGTACCCTTTACTGGTAAAGGGACTGATGTACCAATGTTTCTCCCAAGCCTTGAGCCATACTGCTTATGTTAATGTGCTCGTACGTTAAAATCACCATGTAGACAAAAACAAGCTGGGGAAAAATCTTCTGAAGGAGAAATAATTTGTTGACAGTCTTCCAACTCTAAGTCACTGACACCTTACCTTCCGCAGGCCTTCAAGAATGAGGTGGCCTATGTCATCTATACCTCTCCCTAACCGTTGAGATAAATACGTGAAGACCGGGTCTTCTTTCGGCAGCAGAGGTGCAGAAAGATTCACTCTCTCTTGGACACCCTGAAAACAAACAAACAAAAAATAACAAACAGACAAAGGAGATTATAGGTCTTCAAAGACAAACAGTTTGGTATTTTGTACTACTTGCTTGAAAGGAATTGTAAGAAATAGGTCACATACACATAGGCATAGCTCAAAGATGGGAGTTCAGTTCAACCACCAGAATAAACTATCTCACTGAAGCAAATCACACAAACGTTCTGCTTCCTCATTGCCTGTAAAAGTTAGTTACACTATGCTGTAGTCAATAAGTTCCCAAGCTGACTTGGTTGACCACTCCCTTTTCAGAAAAAAAGTTACTCAGCACCCTCCTAGCAATTAAAACCTTTGTCCTACCGCTCATAAAGTGAGGTCAAGTGCAGGCTATCTGCTTTTGCAGCCCTATATCATTTCAGCACCCTTCAGGGGGCGCTATCGGCCACTTTTGCAAACACTGGTATAGACTTCACAAAGACTTCACAATAAAACCCAGTATGGCTGTATATTCTTATTATCTGTTTATGTAATAAAGAAGAATGAAAAGAAAACTAATATAAGAAATTGTAAAAAATGATAAAAGAAGATTCCCAAAGTTTTCTACTTACCCTTAAGTGCTGAAAAGCATGGATACTATATGGAAGTTCTAGAATTTTAGTACAGTGAGGTTGCTCAGGGTCAGGAGGGACAGGAGATTCTGTGTCTATATAATCTTCAGGGCTAAGATAAAGGATTGGAAGCAATAAATAAAAGGTAAGATAATACTATCTAAGAAATGTCAATTTTATTTTCTCAATTCTCAACTGTACAATCCATAGTCAACTTTCGTATCTTTTCATGGAGCTGTTATTGGAAAACAAAACTTACTGCTCTTGAGTGGCTTCTAACTCATATGACCCTACAGGACAGAACAGAACTGCCCCTTTGGGTTACCAAACCTGTCAATCTTTACATGAGCAGGTAGCCTCATTGTTCTCCCTCAGAGTGGCTGGTGGGTTTGAATAGCTCACCTTATAGTTAACAACCCAATACAAAACCCACTGGTGGAAGAGTGAAATTTCTTAATATGGCTCTTCTACCCAAGACTATGTAAATCACACCAAATAATTAATTAGGTGGGACTATACACAAGGCCCGTGTACCATTAATAGAGGGGATTGGTCAGTTTTCACTACCACCCCCTGGGCTATAAGGATGAGTCTTCTTTGAAGAGAATGAGAACCGGAAGGACCATTTTAGAAGAGCACGTGAGTGGTGGAGGTCCCGGAGACCAGATGCATTTGAGACTGTGGCATGGAGACTCAGAGCAACAGTGCTTCAGCGACCTTCTCCTGGCCCTACACTATGGAACTGTGGCCCAGAGTGACAGGCGGGCTGCCTTCCTGGGCTCTGGAGGCAAAGGCCAAGGGACCATGTGGCTGAGAGGCCGAGTTCCTGAGACAGACTTGGATGCTGGCAGAGGAGACCAATGACTGTCTCTTTACTGTTTGCTTGTGGCAAACTACTGATTTCCACATCACCCCCCTGCCCCCCACTACCCCCTGCCCAAAACCAAACTCACTGTCCTTAAGTCAACTGTAACTCATGGCGACCCTAGAGGACAGATAGAACTGTCCCTGTGGGTTTCTGAGACTGTAATTCTTTACAGGAACAGAGAGCTTTATCTTTACCTCAGGGAGCAGCTGGTGGTTTGGGACTGTTGACCTTTTGGCGAGCAGCCCAACATACAGCCAATACACCTCGGGGGTTCCGACCTCCCCATTAAACTCCCTTAATTGTGAGTACTGCCTGTGAATTCTGTGGACCAATGCAACAAATTATCGAACCCAGCATATATGCAGAGTGGTGTGGGAAGAATGGTTGGTATTAGACTAGGTAAAGGAGGAAGCCAGAGGTCAGGCAATGGCCCTCCCACTGCCGTTTATTGCACCACTACACCACCAGGGGTCCTCTAAAAAATATGGCACTTTCATGAATTTGCGAGGTATCCTTACACAGGAACCATGTTAATCTTCTTTGTACTGTTCCGATTTTAATATATGTGCTGCTGAAGCCAGTGCTAATTTAACACTAGCTGTTAAATTAGTGTTAAATATTTTAAGAATTCAACTTAAAAAGGAGCTAAGTCAACACAGAAGACAATAGATGGTACAAAGAATGTCCAGATGCTGGAATTTTAAAAAGCTACACTGCTACTCTAAGGTGACCAGATGTCCCGATTTTTAATAATTTCCCCCGCATCCCACGGCATTTAAAAAAGTCCCAATTTTTGGAAAGAATGCATGACAAGCTAGGGTATACGGTTTTCGGCTGCCATGTGGCTATTTCACCAGGATATAAGTTTTATCAATGGTGTCCCACTTTACCAATGTTAACATCTGGTCACCTTACTCTGTCTCCAGCAATGTTAGACTGACATACCCTTCCACTGACAGTGCCAGTCTTGACTCTAGTTCATGATTTTCAAATATATATTTTTTCCAATTTGATAGATGAAAATTATGTGTTTAAATTTGTACCTATTTCTTTTATCTATTGGTTATTTGTATTAACTTTATGATAAATCAGCCAGTTTTCTACTGTGGTTTGATGTATTATTAAGGGTTTGAAAGACTTGTTGGTGTGGTATATATACTGTGACCTTATAAATTTCAAAACTCAGATGTGATAAAAGCTTAATCTCTTCAGAGAAGGAGTTCCTTACTTACTTCAGAAAGGCCCATTTAGAAAACTTACCTGATGTCTTTACTCTCCAGAGTTATGTAGGTGCCGTCATACAGATCCAGGTCCCCGAGGGGCACCTTGGCCTTGATGCAGTCTGGATCTTCTTTATTGTGCCTTTGTTCCAGGCCTGTATCTCTGTCCTCATTTTCTTCTATGTGAATTTTTTGAGCAACTAATTGCTTCTGTTAGGAAGAAAATGCAAAAAGAATGGATGCTTCTACGTTTTTGAAAAAGGAGAATTTAATGAGTGCTGAAGAAGGGAGAGAAAACAAAGCTTGGGCTCAGGGTTCTGAGGATCTCATGGGCTAACTTAGCCCAACTTTTCTAGAAAGGTATCCACACCCAGAAAATGACTTTACTGCTACTCTGCCTCCAGACCAACTTACCTTCCCTTGACAGTGTCTGTCTTTATTCAAGTTACTGATTTTCCAATATTTTTTTACCAAGTTGATAGATGAAAGCTCCATACATGTTTCAATGTGTTCCCACTTCTTTCATCTATTGGTCTCTATTTTATTACAAATCATTCAGTTTTCTACGATGGTATTTAAACAAACAAAAGCATGACATTCAGAACACTGGCACATGAGCTCATTTACAATATGCTCACTAATGCCCTAGAAAGCCAGGTCTACCAAGTTACCTTTTCTGGCCTAGGAGGGCTCAGCAATTCAAACACCTTTGAATTACCCAGACACATCAGGTTGTTTCAGTCCAAGATGTTAAGCATATTCATACCGCTACCTGGAATACTCTCCCCTACTGCCTGGTGGTTAACACTCTCGGTTGGCGGCTCACTGAGATGCTGGAGGCTCAAGTATGGCCAGACGTGCCTCTGAAGAGAAGCCTGGTCATTGGCCACTGAGAAATCAGCCATGGCCTGGAAGTCTCATGGAGCACAGTTCTTCTCCGTGACACATATGGGCTTGCCATGAGCCAGAACTGACTCAAAGGCAACTAACCACTGGCTTATTTGTTCCTGGTTAATATAAGTTGTTACCGCGTATTTGCCATTCAATGATGCCAGGCACCAGATTAATGAAAATAACTTACATTCTTCTAATCACTCAAGTCAAAAAAACTGGAGTTATTCTTGACTCTTCATCTGTCTATCTCTCTCTTCCTACCCCACCACCCTTGGCTTACACACTGTGACTAGTTTTGCTGTTGCTTCTGTGTTCTATCCTGCCCTCAGGTCCAGGTTTAGACTTTACGTTTTGGTTGGGGTACTATCTCAAAGTAATATCTGCCCGACAATGAAATTTGGGAAATTGAAGATGTAATAATTGAACCACAGGATAGCTGTGGTAGTGAATTACTTCATGTGACTGCAGTCTTGTAACGCCCACCAAATGGCTGGTGGTGGTACGTGTCCTCCAGTTGGCTCCAATTCTTAACGACCTTATGCACACCAGAATGCAGCACTGCTGGTCCTGCGCCATACTCACAATTGTTCAGCTTGAGCCCATGATGCAGCCACTGTGCCAAGCCATCTCCTTGACAGTCTTACTCTTTTCGCTGACCTTATACTTTACGAAGCATGATGTCTTTTTCCAGGGACTGGTCTCTCCTGATAACATGTCCAAAGTATGTGAAACCAAGTCTCACCATCCTTGCTTCAAAGGAACATTGTAACTGTACTTCTTCCAACACAGATTTGCTTGTTCTTCTGGCTGTCCATACTTTCAATATCCTCCAAACACCGTAATTCAAATGCATCAGTTCTTTTTAAAAAAATTTTTATTAATCATTTTATTGGGGGGGTGTGTCTCTTACAGATCTTTTAACAATCCATAATTCAATTGTATTAAGCACACTTGTACATATGTTGCCATCATCATTTCCAAAACATTTTCTTTCTACTTGAGTCCTTGGTATCAGCTCTTTTTCCCCTCCCTCCCCCTCCCACCCACTCTTGGAATCCTTGATCAATTATATTATTATTGTTATGCATACATTCTTCTGTGGTTTTCTTTATTCAGTGTCCAACTACCATATGTACAAGAGGTGACTGAAAATACCCTGCTTTGGTCATGTGCCCCTTAACCCTCAAAAAACCATCTTGCTCTTGAACATTTGAAAAGGTCTTATGCAGCAGATGTGCCTAATGCAACGCCTTGTTGACTGGGTAGGAATACGCAAATGTGAGGTGCTGGTGGCCCACTAACAAGGTTGGACAGCTTGTAAATAATGTAGAGAAGGTGTATGGCCACCTAGAGAGGGTAGGATCACACAAATGAGATGTGTTGAGCTATCGTAGAGGGGACAGAGGGATCCACACTGCTATCGAGAAAGAAGAGCCTGGAGTGGAGCATGTCCTTTGGACCTGAGATGCTTGTGTTGTGGCTGAACCTCCTTGACCCAGGAGACAGAGAGCTGTGACAACGAAGATGGGGAGGGGCAACAAGAGACTGCGAGCAGCTGCAGGGAATCGGTGACAGCAGGGGCAGAAAGAGGAGTCCAGCAAGAGATGGCATGATGGACTTCCAAACCCACATAGTGAGAAAAATTGAGTGCCTTTGGACAGGAGGGGGCGCCTGTGGGCACTTCGTCAGCGAGAAGCTCAGAGTGCCATGGGAAGGATGATCGGTGTCAGAACTGGTCAAGAGCCTGGAGGGTGGAGATACGTCTGACCTCTGCCTTGGACGCTGTGCATCTTATTTTTATCCATTTATTTGACACTGTTGGTCTTGATTCTCTCTTCTCCCAGGGAAGTGAGAGGTCGGCCACTGCTCCCATGCCACTTTGACAATGGCTCAGTTCCACTTGTGGTAGCACAAGGCATGTTCTGCTTCCCTGCTGACTAACTCCTATTGCAACGCAGACCCACTGTCCCCATTCTATGTGAGTAGGATGGCTCATCATCAAGCAATGAGCCTGGCTCTGTTCCCTCCTGTTGCATGGAACCTGCCAGTCCCCTGGACTCCACAGAATGGTGTCACCAGGGACCATGCCTGCTTCTTATTTTGCAAATTAGCTTACTCTTCCTCCAACTTCCAGTTCCTTAACATTTGGATTTGGTTAACAATGTACCTTTGAGTTTTGGCAAGGAAAAACCATCCAATTTTCAAATCACTGGTACTGTTAGCTATGGAGCAAAACCAGCTTAGGAAAATCAATGATAGAGAGGGGTAAAATGGATGGTTGATTTGCTTATTAACAAAGCTGCTCTGGTTTCATCAGCACAAACTGGCGTCACGTTTCCAGGGTATAAAGTGATTAGTACTTGTCACTGTAACCATTAGAACACACAAGAGCTTGGCTTTTAGCTCTTAGCAACAAGAAAGCATCGTTTGAATACATACTGAAAATTTGCTACCTTTAGATATTTTACCAAATACCTCTACCAGAAACACATATCCTTTTCACATTTCGTGGAAAAACTTAAACATGGGAACTACGTTTAAGGATACAGTGAGTCAAGAGGGAGGTGCAAAGCCCAGGCTAGGCTAGTTTACTTCTCTCACTACTGCTCAATGTCACTCCAACTAAGTGGTTTAAAAAAGTGAGCTACTAAAGGGAGTATATTCCTGCAAAAGTCAGTAGTAGCAGGCCCAACAAATAATAGGATTTTAACTTTTCTTTGAACATAAACTAAGCAACAGTAACAACCAAGCCCACTGCCAGCACGGTGATCTTCACTCTGGGTGACCCGAGAGCTCCTGTGAGATGCAACCAAGTGCCATCTGCACATCACATGCCCAGTCGCCTCACCTCTAATTCTTTGAGGTAGTTAACTGTTGATTCTTGTCTCATTAGTATGACTAAGTCATGGGGATGCTTCAAGTTCATTGGTGAATCAACCTGCAAACAAGCAACAAATATATGTGACTATTGTGTAGAAAACATGAAACTTCATTTGAATTAAAAACCAAAAGCTCAATTCACTGCCATAGAGTTGATTGGACTCATAGTGACCCTGTAAGATGGGGTAGAACTGCCCTTATTTATAAGTTTCCAAGACTGTAACTCTTTGTGGGTGTAGGAAAGCCTCATCTTTCTCTTGTGGAGTGGCTGATGGTTTCAAACTGCTGACCTCTGGGTTAGCAGCGCAACTCAACCAGTACCCCACCAGGGCGCCTTCTGAATTAATAAACAAAAAAACCAAACTCATTGCCATCGAGTCAATTCTCACTCGTGGTGACCCTATAGGGCTGAGTGGAACTGCCTCTGTGGGTTTCCAAGACTGTAGCCCTATACAGGAGTAGGAAGTCTCATCTTTCTCCCTCTGAGTGGCTGGTGGTTTCAAACTGCTGACCTTGTAGTTAGCAGCCCAACATGTAACCAGTATGTCACAAGGGCTCTTCTGGATTAACAAAGGCTCCTTTAAATTACTGTTCAATCATTAACCAGTGCTAGGCATTCAGTAAAACCAAGGGGCATTTTCCAAAAGGGATCACACATGAATTTGAGAAACAAAAATGACAAGTTCAATACCTATAAGCCTTGAACTCCCACTTGAAAGAGGGGGCTGTTGAAGCAAATACTCTTGACATGACAGGTTCTCTGGCAGTGTCAAGACTAGAAGAAGTAACTTGGCAATGAATGATAACATAACTTTTTAAAAAGCTGTTTTATGCCTGTTATTTTCTTTCTTCAGTGAAGTCCTGCCTTGATAAAATGCATATTCTATACCTGAGTAGGTTTGGAATCAATAAAAAGAGGAATATTAAAAAGAACTCCATTTGAAGGCTATTTGTAGAAGCTATAAACCAAAGATAAAATAAAATAACCTTGAGATTTATTACTTAGCTCTCGTGTTTCTGGGTCATACACAAAGGACTGAGATGTCGAAGATGGAGAATAATAAATCCTCACATACTAGCAGAAGGCTTATAAATTAGTCCTTGCTGTTTGGATGGTCATTTGACAGCATATATCAAAATGTCAAAGTATATGCATACCTGTCAGCCTAAGAATTCAATCTTATCCTACAGAAATTCTTACACATGTAGAAAAGATATATACAAGGACATTCACTACTACCATATTAGTTTTACTATAAAAATAGGAATATTTTATGATGTGTGAATTATATGGCAATAAGTGTTAGGAAAAAATTAAAGAAAACAAAGATCATGGCATGAGGACTTAGGTTACATTATGAGAAAACAAATCACTCAAAACAACGAGGATAGTAGCAATGTTTACATGCAAATCGCATGTGAGACAGATGTATTACCAGATGTGTTTTGTGTTTTCAAATCACCAAAAAATGTTCTTGTTCAATATAAAAAAACAAAAGACAACAACAAAAAGGTCCCTATTTCCTGTGACTGTGAGCATCTTATTTTTAAATGCAGTATTACCTTTTCTCTAAAGTGTCAGTTTTCAAGGGGAGTGAAGGGAGACAGCAGATGGTGTAAAATATGAAAATAAAAATAATTTATAAATTATCAAGGGTTCACAAGAGTGGAAGGGGAAAAAAGAGGAGCTGATAACAAAGGTTCAAGTAGAAAGAAAATGCTTTGGAAATGATGATGGTGACATATATACAAATGTGCTTGTGCAGATTGATGTATGGATTGTCATAACACCTGTAAGAGCCCCCAATAAAATAATTTATTTTTTAAGTGTGTTTTATGTCAATACATCTTTATTGTTTAAAGATTCATATGAACAGTTGTTTTATCTTGTATTTTAGTAAATTTAAAATATTAGCTCACATTTCCTACAAATTTGAAAGAGGGAACATAAATCTTATAAGTATACAAAAAAAAAAAAAGGAATAACCTAAACCCATCAATAAAGGAACAGGGGAATCTATCATCCAATGGAATGAGGTGTGGAAAACCTGATCTACTGTTGTGGAAAGATGCTCTCAATGTATAGTTTACAAAAGCAATAAAGAATACCAGGTATATATATGCCAGCATGGAGTAGGGAACCAGTGGAGAGGTCTGAGGGGCCAGCCCCTCCCAACTGCATGGACAGCTACCCCTCACCCCAGAAGAAATTATTTCAGAGGACAGCACTGAAGCTGCAGCTCAGGGAGAAGGACATGCCTGATTAGAGCACACGGGAGCAAATGAACGGGGAGGAAGAGAGAGTGGAGCACATCCTGGCCCACCAAGCCTTGACGATGATATTCCCACTCAGAGCAGCCAATCCACAGAGAAGACCATATGACGGGCCCCACTATGAGACATGACATCCATCACTGACCCATGGCCCTACAGGGGACAACACTGGAGACAGTGTGGGAATTGTGTGCAATCTGAACCCACCACACCGAGGCAAAACACTAAGGGTGTGCAACAGAACAGCAAGGGGAACAGAGCAACGAAGTCCCCAGGGAATACCAAAAATAGACTTTGGAGCCAGGGCTTGGCACCCCATCAGACTCAACTGGAAAACACTCCTAAAGGCCAACAAACAGTCCTTGAACTAACTACAGGCTTTTCTTTTTGTTGTTGTAGTATTGGGATTTTTGGGGGTTTTTTTGTCATTGGCTTTTTGTTGTTGTTGTTTTGTTTTCTTTTGTTGCTTGGTTTTGTTGTCTTGTTTTTGTGCATGTTATCTCCGCAGGTCTGTCTAAATAAGATAGGCTGGATGAACAATCTGTAGGAGAAA